GTACCACGATTTACAACAAAAAAAAGAAGAAAAAAAAAAAGTAGCCTCCTTGACTATAGTGGCGCCCTCGGGCCTTAGGGAGGTGAATAATTAATATGTATATTTATATATATATATATATATATATATATATATATATATATATATATATATATATATATATATATATATATATATATATATATATATAGCTATCGAAATTAGGGTTAGCATTTAGCAATGCCGACCTAACTTCCAACCTTAAAGTATTTGAGGTCGGCAAAAAATTGCTGACCTTGTTTCTATGTTTTACAATAACTCCTTTGTTTCATTTTTTTTTTTTTTTTTTTTTTTTTTTGTCAACCTGATGTCGACCTCTAACAGTTTAATCCTATATTGCTTACCTTATGAAAAGTATATAGAAAAAAATGTTCATGTTTTTTTTTTAAACATTAAAACACATAAAAAAATATGAAAGTTAATATTTAAAAAGTATGCAGTCAAAAGGTCTTTTTGGTCTTTCTTTAAAGAAACAAAGTGCAATAGGTTTATCTTATTTTACTTAACTTATATCAAAATAGTTTGACCAAACAAAACCACAAGTACGCTCAAAAATATACAAAGAACATAAAGACATAAAGCTTTAAAAAAATTATTTAATTAAAATACAATAAAAACATATATTAAAAGTTAAAAAGAAATAAAGTATAAATTATTCAGTGTGAAAGGGTTTGAAACAATTGTATCTCGCTGCAAAGCACAAATTAACTTGGCATTTTTTACAAATAAATCTAGTTATCATTTGGCAGTCACCATTTTTGCGACTTCCCTTTTTCCCATGAGACATAAAGTTTGCCCAGTGATGCAAACCATTTGTTCAAATGGCAAGTACTGAAACTGAGGCTACTGGACCAAATGATCTTTTTGCTGTTAATTCCTGTTCAACATTTGATGTTGATGAACATCTTTTTGAAGGATAAACTTTTAAGTTGTTGCAATAGACAATTTGAAATTTGCATCTTAAATTCATGCAATTTCAAGATCTTAGTAGTGCCACTAACACATCTGCAGTAAAAAATCATGGCTTAAACGATTATCATATCAAACAATGAAATAACAACTTCTTTGGTATTACTTCTTAGATCTTATCTGGATTCTATAAAGACCCTTAAATGAATCTAGGAGTTCCACACCACCCATAAACTTGTTGTTCGTGTGTACAAAGAAGTTCATTTTAATTTTTTTATTCAACTTTTTATAAAAGTGCTCAACTTCTGTGGAGGGATTGAAATTCTCCTATGTAGACAGCAACATTACAGTTATTGTACCATTTTGTGGCATGTAATTCTACTTCATCAGAATCTGTAGTTCACCCTTTTTCATATCCTTATCAGATGTCATTTTACAGTTTGATAGACGGTTTGATTTTACTTTTCCTAAGCACGCAATTCCTTGTTTATGCATAGCTTTAAAAGGAGTAAACTTGTATACCATTTGTCAAAATATAGTTTATATCATCTATATCTAGGTGTATTTTGCAGAAAAGTTAAAATAATATTTCCAGAAGCTGTGAGATCTGTTTGTTTAGGGTATGAGCCTATTGATCCTGTGTATATTTCAAAATTGTGAACCAAACCATCTGCACATACAGCTTATAACCACATTTTTTGGCTTTTTATGGTTATATTGCGTTAAATTTGACTTTCCTTTAAATGAGACAATTTGTTCATCAATGCAGAGTTTTTCATATGGTCTTAGCTAAACAAATTTATATTTTAAATTTCAATTACTGGATGAATCTTGAATAGTTTATTAAACTAATTATCTTGGCGACTTAAATTATCACTACAGTGCTATTAACTTTTAATTTTTTTAAAAAAAATTTTAAAGTCATAACATCTGCAATTTTGTTAAAGTAGAAACTCTTTACTCTACTACATTCTAGTGCTAGACATTTTTATTAGGCTTCTAGCAAACAATATCCTAACAATACAAAATTACAAGAGCAGAATTGGAACCATTAAGGTTCTAATTCTGTTCTTGTAATTTTCAAAGGGTCTATTCAATCAAGCATCTCCTCTTCGCTACCACTTGACATGTCACTTTCTACTGCCATCAAAAAATTCTCTTTATTATTATTTGTTATTGTCATTAACTTTTTTAAAAGTTACAATATTATAATTTATTATAATATTGTAACTTTTAAAAAAGTTACAATATTATAATAAATTTACAATATCACAATATTGTAATTTATTGCAAAACAAGTTCAATTTAAAAATCAACTTAAAAAAATGTAGAAATGTTAATATATAATGTTTATTTTGTTATGAATTTTTTTTTTTTTTAATATTTAATGTAAACTTATTTCTACATTTGTATAGATGAATTAATGTATGCTAAATTTTTTCTTTACTTCATAAATTGGTAACTTGCAAATGATAATGATTTTTTATTTTTAAAAGATGAAAATGAGTAACAAATAAAAAGTACACAATCGCATAAACACTCTAGTTATTTTACCAGCGATTTTGTTGTGACAAACAAAGATTAACTTTTATTAAAAAAGTATATGTGGTTCCAAAAAATTTCTCAAAAAATTTCTCAAAAAATTAAAATGAAAATATTTTAAAAGAAATCATTAATAAAATTTGTATACTCTAAAATATTCTACTTAATTAATTTTTGAAGTAAAATTATATTTTCTACACGTGTTATAATATTATCTTTTATTCAAAGTTTTTAAGATTTAGTTTATTAAAAAGCGTAACTATATTTATCACAAAACTCAATAGTTGTTATTTAATACAAAAAGAATTTTGCGATGATCAAAAAGTAAAATATAGAAGAAAAAGTCTCAGAGCAAAAATGAAAAAAAGAAATCAAGACTTATTTTTTATCTTATTTAAATTTAATTTAAAATTTTCTCATAAATCAAATATTAAATACTTTTAACTCTCTCTCTAATAAATATGTATATATTTATATAAAATTAAAGACAGAGGAATTGAAAAACATATAAATACTAATTTAAATTGCTTTTAACTATTTTAAAACAAAACAAAAAAACTGAAATAACATTTTAAAATATATTTTACATAAATATCTGCGTTATTATGTTTTAATTAAAAACTATTTTAAAACAAGACAAAAAAAAAAAACTCTAATAACATATTATAAGTTATATATTTTTATCATTATTTTTGTTATCATTTAATTAATTGTCTAATTTAAAACATTTAAATTTTTAAATAAATAATCCTTGAACATTTCACACAAAATTTTTTTTAATGTTTTGTGTAATCAGCAAATAGCTTAAATTTTAAGTATAATTTTTTATTGGTTGACAGCACTCAAAATAGTTTTTCAAAGCTTGTCGATCAAATGTAATTTTTTTACTAAAACATTTTCTCTTGAATTTTTTTGATATTTCCCTAAAAATAGCAGATCATTGATCGTTGATTTCATGGTTTACTTTGAATAAAATTGTTACGAATCCGGACAAATTTCAATTTTTTTAGCTGGCTTAAAAAATTGTAAAGATCAATTTTTAATTGTTGTAAATGTAAAAATCATGGTTTCCTCTAAGGGTAAACTTCTCGGCGTTACAATTGATAAGGATTTGAAATTTGATGATCATATTAAAAGTCTGTTTGGAAAAGTGAATGGTAAATGCTTCACTCTTGCACGAATAAGGAGCTTCTTATCAGTAAAACAAGCTACTGTTTTATTCAATGCTTTTATACTATCAAATTTTTCCTATTGTCTTTTGATTTGGATGTTTTTTTCAAAGTATAATAATAATAACCTAATTAATAAAATTCATCAAAAAGGACTTTGCATTGTCTATAAAAGATTTGATCTCCCATTAGAAGAAATTCAAAAAATAGAAAATATCCTAAGTATTTACCTTAAAAATTTAAGGTTTTTGTTAACTGAAGTTTTTAAATCTATAAATGGTTTAAATCCAGATTTTATGTTAGATCTTTTTATCAAAAAATCCCTGCTGTTAAGTCTTCGATGTAGTAAAAAATTAGTACTCCCACCCATGGTCTCTAAACATAAGTTCATAAAAAGTAATTTATATAGAGTAACCTCGCTATGTAACTCCCTAGACAATGAAACTATGTCAATAAATTTTCTAAAGATGTTCAAAAAAACATTTATATTATTGACTATGTAAACTATTTTTATTTTATTTTATTTATTTTTATTCACGATATGTATGTTTGTTTGTATTGTCTTGTACAATTTAGTGCGTTGATTTTAATTAGTTTTTGTTGATTATAAAACTATTGTAAACAATCAACTGAGAATAAAGTTTTGAATAAAATAAATAAAAACTAGACCCGACACTTAACATTAGTAGGTATTTTAACAATTCTTATAAATAAGCTTGTGGCAGACTAAAATTAGATATTCGTTAACACCTCTTGCAGCAGTAATTTATCCTGTATAAATATTCATCAAATAAATAAAATAAAAAAATAAAATTACTGTGCATGTTTTTCAGACTTTAGTAAATATTATTTTTTTCTTATAACTTTTTTTTGTAATAATTGATGTATAAACAAACAATAAATTAAAATATATTTTAATTAGCTGATGTTTAAACAAACAATAAATTAAAATTTGTAATTTTGTCTGCTATTAATTTTTATCTGTTATTAATTTTTATCTGTTATTAATTTTGCAGTATAAATTTATTGTTTTGTTTTTTCATTATTTTTTTTAATTTTATTAATGGACCATTTCATTAAAACAGTGTTCTTGGTTTTTAATAAACTGAAAATTTGAAGACCAGATGTATTTCCAGATTTCATTATTTGTAATCACTTGTTTTTGCCTTGTGTGTGTATATATATATATATATATATATATATATATATATATATATATATATATATATATATATATATATATATATATATATATATACTTGTATAGATCTATATTTTTGAATAGTGTATAATGAAAATCAAAGATTATTTTTTTTTTTTTACCAAAGTTTTTTTTTTTAGGCATTGAAGCAAGTATTCCAACTGACAGAACTGCATTTTTGAAGTACATGAGGTATTTTGAAAAAAGTTATTTGTGATGCTTTGTAAAGTATTCCAAATATTTAAAAAAAAAAAATAATAAAAAAAAAACTTTAATTTGATAATTATTAATAGAATTGCTGCTATTTAGGCATTTTTTTAGAAAAGATCTGCCTTAAACTAATAATCCTTTGCAATCAAGTTAGCTTTTTTATATAAAAGTCTTTTAATAAGGTTTTTTCTTTAAAATTCTTTTTTACTATTTAACCCTCCATCGGGCGCGCTTGATCAAATTGATACATGTCAATCATTTTTATCTGGTACGAGTTTTTGAGTAATGACTCATAGTTCTGATTTTTAGGAGCTTCATTTTTTTCCTTTTTTTATTGTTCTACATCATCAAACGTTTAAATCACTTTTTATGAATTGATTTTTATCATTTTGATCAAATTGATACATTGTGCCCTTTTATGTTACATTTTATAAGTTTGATTGTAATAAAAAATATTATATCTGGTAAATACATTTTTAAATTTGTAGACAAAATTTGATATTATTTATTGTTCAATTCAGCGGGAATGTATTTTTTTAAATTAAAATATCAAATTGATACATTGCGCCTTAAAGCGTTATTGGTTACAATAACGCTCTAAGACGCAATGTCTTTACTACAAAAGGTTGGATATAAATCTAACCTTTTATACTTATAATTAAAACATTTCTTGTTTATATTTTTAAAATATATTTTAATTTGTCCATCTTTCATTTTAATATATAAGTTATTCCTCTTTTTTGCCTCTAAAATGGATGAAATGGATTATTTAATCTTGAAAGTTCAAAAGATATAGAGGAATTTCAAAAAAAATCTATTAGATAGAAAAGGAAGTAAAGATTAAAAAAATATATTATATTTTGGGAATGCTCAACCTTTTGTTAGAAGAAATATTTTCTTAAAGAGACGTTTTCATGAATTAGTGATGCCTTAACTTATTTCAAGAAGTGTAAAAAAAAAAGAGGGTTACCAAAAGAACTCAGTGATAGTTTACATCGCTTTAGAACAATCCCAATTTTAGAACAAACCCAAGATATTATTAGAAATCAAAATAAAAAATGCCAGACATGTACACAAAATAAACGATTAACAAGGTATAATTATCAACAATGCCATCAACCTGTTTGTTTGACACAGGGCTAACGACGTTGGTGGGGGGGGCACATACCCAACCACTTTTTTTTTTTAAAGTACCTTTTGTTTTTAAAAAAAATTTCTTGATTTAGAGGACTTTTTTGTAAAAAAATAAACGATTGTACCCCTCCACTTCAAAACCTGTGTCGTCGGCCATGTGGCACACCTAAAAAGCTATTGCGGCAGTTACGTAAAAATTGTACTAGGTTTGTCGTTCAAAACGATATGTTAGAACATGATAATTAACATATTAAACTAATATTATATAAATGTTACACTTCTTTTCAAAGAATTTTGAAACTTTTTTTTTTTCCTAATTTTTTTTTATATAATTAGCTTTTTAGAATAGTCGCTGGAAATTTGTACCAATTTGATCAATGCGCCTCTTTTATTTCAAATTGTAAATATTTCATATTTTTTCAAAGAATATTTAAGCGGTTTAATTTAAAAAAAAAAAAAAAAAAAATGAATTTTCATTGCATCAAATTGATATGCATAACAATTGGTGAATTGTTATGCATATCAATTTGATAAAATGCGCCTTCCCGAGTTACAAAATGATTGGGCTCGACGGAGGGTTAAAAAATGATTAGATTTAAGTTTAAGCTTATACAAATTCGTTATTTATATAAAAATAAACAGTTTGTTGAAACAATTAGCTATTGGCTATAAACATTTCCAATCTAAAATAAAAACTTTTTTAATAATATATATATATATATTTTTTTAAGCGACCATTTGAAATATGAGCATATACATTCCAATATATACCATGAAGATATAACAAATGCTAGTTTTAATTGGCCAGAGGTTAATTATTACCTAATGTTACTATTACTTTTTTTATTTGGTAAACATTGTTTAATTTTAAAAAGTTATTTTTTTAGAAGTAAAAGTAAATTGACTTTTTATAGACATGTCATATCGATTTGAAAAATGCAGTAGTTACATGTTCACTTCGTAACATAGATTCTAATCAAAAAGGTCTGTTTGCTTCTTGTGAAGTCAGTTCTGGAAGCTTTTTGATTGAATATAAAGGGCATCTTATGTTTTTTAAGAAGTTCAATGAAGAATATCCTCAACTATATTACTGGTGTCCATTTGTTATTACATACCATAGCATAGAGCATTTAGAATTAGTTATTGATTCAAGAAAATTTGGAAATGAAGCACGATTTGTGAGAAGATCTTGTTCTCCTAATGCAAAGGTTTTTTTTTTTATTATATTAGATTTATTTGATTTTCACGAGTCTTTTAACAGTGATAAGTGTTAAGTAAAATATTTTCTATTATATTGTTTGCAATGGTCTTAAGCTTAATTTTAGTAAAACTGAGTATGTTTCTGTGAATTAAATTTGAACACTCAGTTTAACCATGGAAGTGTAATTAAGATAAAACAAAAGGAATATGAGTTAAGATATATTCAAAATATTCAGAACTATATATTTTAAAACTGTACTTAAATTTAATTTTTTTTATGTTGACATTACTACTCAAGTTAACTAATTAGTTCCTTGTAAGTTATAGATCAGGTTTTTGTTATTTCAATTGTTATCACACCGACAAGACAAGTTGTTGCACATTAGCGCACTGTTGTAGGTTTTCAAAATACTGTTTTATTTTCACTTTGCAAAACCAACATTAATTAAAAAAGAAATTTAGGCTGTTTATTATTTAAAATATTTATGACCAAAATTTCATTATTAAAAATCATCCCAGGAAAAGATAGAAATTAATAAAAAAAACTTTAAGTTGCCTAAACATATTTAAAATATTTTTCTTTTTTTTTTTTTTTTTTTCTTTTTTTTTTTTTTTTTTTTTTTTTTTTTTAGTTAAACTCTTTCAACCCTAAACCCGAAACAAGCATGAAATAAGGCCACTTTTTAGAAACAAAAGTTGATATATACATATAGGAATCCTCTGTAGCTTGTTTGTCAAAGTTTTTTTTTTTTAGTTAAAGGTTTAGAGAGAGAGAGTAGTATAACACTAAATCAATAATTTCTACAATTATACCAACTTCTTAGCTATACGATACTTGTGGTACAACAATTCTATCAAAAATTGTGACTGTTTTTACTGCGTAAGGTCACAAAAACATATAAGATATATATATATATATATATATATATATATATATATATATATATATATATATATATTCACCTTGTGTACTACATAGAGGCGCTAGTATCTACATAAATTAGTATCATTATTTACTTATCACAGCGGGTACAAATATATGTGACTAAAAGGGGACTAGAAGAATTAGGGATACTTGTCTTTCTATGCAGTTGTTTTCTATTGGGGGTATAAATGTATATTTTTTGAATACATATTTTTAGTTTCAACATCTTAGTATAAATGGATTTATACACATTGTAATCACAAGTATAACAAATATTTCTAAAGACCAAGAAATCACTGTTCCTCTAGATAGCAGTTCGGAAAGCAACAAATATTTTGTAGACTGCTGTTGCGGGTCAAAAGATTGCGTTTTAAATAAGAACAAAGAGATCACTGAAAAGCAAGCTGATGTTGAATCCCCGATCGAAAATGATGCTTTATCATCAGAATTTGTTTCAAAAATTGATTCTGAAACTGCTGATGCTGATAGCGAACAATATGGGGAAGGTAATGAAAAACAATTATCCAGAGAAGATAAAAAAATACAAGCTGCTTTAAAACATTTTGAAAATATGAATAAAAAAAGTGCTACTACTAAGAAGGTTAAAGAACCTAAAACTTCTGTATCAAAGTAATTATTTTGTAATTTTCTGAACTATAAATTTCTTATTTGTAAACATAACAATAAACTTTATATTTATGTAAATGTAGCACTAACTGTAATTGCTTTATTATAGAAATCAATTAAATGCAGAAGAATCACTGAAGTCATCCAAGTAAATTTTGTTTTAATTTTATTTTAAATCATCTTAAAAAAGCAAATTAATTTATCACAGTTTGAAAAGTTCTGTCAAGTTTTTTACAGAATTGTTAGACAAAAAAATCAAAGTTGACAACATGTCATAATTAAAAATATTAGCATGCAATTAAACTAAAGTTGAAAATACTTTTAAAAATAGGGAAACCGCTTAACGGCAGATTTTATAAATGTTGTCAGTGTGAAATGGTATAACTTGATTAAATACATATCTGCCTTAGTTAGAGTTTGTCTAAGAATGCTGAAAAAATTTTAAACAGTAAATATAAGTGTGAACTTATATTTAAATATAAGTGCAAATTTCTATTTTTAGAAAATCAACTGGTAAACGCAAGCCCACAACAGTTGGAAAGCGGTATATCTTTTTAAATTTTTTTTTTTTTTTTGATTGTTATTTGTTGAATGTAGAATGTTTCATCATCTACAAATACATCAGCTAGGCTGATGCCGATGTTGCTAGGCTGATGCCAATTGGAAAAACTATTAGATTTGAACTATTAAGAGGAGCTTTCAAATTTTAAAAATTTTACCTTTATGCTTTTATATTTTATCTTTTTATTTAATCGTTTGTTTAGATTTTGTTTCTCTTTTCAGTTTATGTTTAATTTTCTCTTTAGTTTAGTTATTTAGCATTTTTAGAATGCATAAGTTAGGTAAAAGATTTAAAGAGCTGTGACCAAGTTGTCAAAACAATATAATATATACGTAGTCAGACAAGCTGTGCAACCACGCACATTTCTTTAGAAGGCTTGATAATGTGGCAGTGGTGTACTGGTAATGAACTAGATTTGTATGCAAAAAATCTGACTCCTACCATGTCACTGGTATTACCAAACTCAACTTGTTTCTTCACACAACGGCCTTATCAAGGTTTGTGCTTTAAAGTTAATGAGTTGAGAGATGGTTGTAACCACAAAAAAAAGTGGTCTTCTTGACTGTAGTGGCCCCATCAGCCTCGAGGAGCTGAGTAATATTTAAAAAAAAGAAAATGACTGTGTTATCTGTGAATAATATAATTTTTAACAAAACAAGACATCCTGCCATATCATTAATAAACTAAATAAACAATAAAGTTTAAAAAGTAGTGGTGCTCTTTACAAAAAGTAAGTGGTGCTAAAAGTAGATCTTTGTGGTACTCTGCTTGTTAAATAAAAATCTTCTGAATATTTATTTTTAATAAAAACCTTTCAATGTTTTAAAAAAAAGGTAATTAACAAACCACTTATACTAATTTCCAGTTGTTTATCCCTCTCTCTCTCTCTATGTATATATATATATATATATATATATGTATATATATATATATATGTATATATATATATATATATATATATATATATATATATATATATATATATATATATATATATATGTATATATATATATATATACATACATACATATATACATACGTAGAGAGAGGGATAAACAACTGGAAATTAGTATAAGTACACACACACACACACACACACACACACACACACACACACACACACACACACACACACACACACTCTCTCTCTCTCTCTCTCTCTCTCTCTCTATATATATATATATATATATATATATATATATATATATATATATATATATATATATATATATATATATTATTTTATGAAAAAATTAGCGCTGCATGTAATTGTTCAAGACAACTTCAAAATTCCTAAAATATATTTTTATATACATGTTCAAAAAAATTAATTTTTTTATGCAATCGTAATTGCTATCTAATCTAATGTGTTTGTATGTATTTTACATTTATTTAAAAATGCAGCAAAAATATATATACTAGTGTTTTTGATGACATAAAATAGGTCAACTTTATGTTGTCATAAAATTTACCTGTTTTATGTCATCAAAATGAAATTGTTTTGTTTTTTATTCTATATACATATAATTTATTTTCAGTGCTATATGAGCAAATTTGTTTTTATATGCCAACTTATATTAAAAAACTTTAAATAGATATAAAAACAGCTAAAAGTAACAAATTATTGGATAAAAAATTTTAAAAATTTATTTAATTATAAATAAATAAATAAATGCTAATAAAATGTGCATTTTGTGCAATTTTTTTAAATTAAACTAGTTCAAATTTTAAGCTATATGGTTTTGTTTACTAATAATTGAACTATAAAATGAGCTAGAAAATAAAATATCTTCAATATTTTTGTTAAAAAAAGTTACCCGACATTTTTGTTAGTCACTACGCTTCCCTATGCTTCATTTTTATAATTGATATATATATATATATATATATATATATATACAGGGCTTGTGACGAATAAAATCGTTAAGCGTGTTATATAGGTTAAATAACAGATTTTCCCCTCAACTGTTGTCAACGGTGTTTCCTCTTCTACATTTTCGAAACTGAATGCAACTAATTCGTCACTCATATCTGGTAACTTCAGTTTTAAAGCCTATTACCTCTTGAACTTTCCATTTAATAAATGTTGACAACATTACTTTGTTTACTTTTGGAATGTCATTGATTGCGGACATTCTAAACAACAGAATCGTTTTAAATTTGAGGTAAAATAAATAATAGTTAATAAAAAACTTATACTATAAACAAAAACTAATTTAAAAAATTACTGAATCATTATTATTTATTTTTATTATAAACGATGTATGGAATATTACAAACAATAAATCAAATAAATTTTACTTGATGTTTTCACAAGATTAAAAATATTCTGCAGTTTCAATTTTCTCATAATGGTTTACTAATTTTTTATTATTTTATTTGTGCATTTTTGTATTTGCATTGAATTTCTACATGCACATTCCATCAATGAAATTAGTGCCTATTAACGACTTCAAACTGCTCATTCATTAGGTTAGTGCAAAAAAGAACCTGTGCTTTTTTTATCTTATATTTTATTAGTGCTTCGATAATATAAAATCTTTATTAAAAAATCTTTTTTTCATATTTTATGAAAATAAAAAAAAAGTTATTATTTGTTTTGCCCCGAACTCTTGGACGAGCGTTATTTTATACGCTCGTTATAAGCTGAACGAGCGTTGTTTATTGCGCCTGGAACGTTTCAAAATACCATTTACAGGCGCGTTTCACAAGCAGAGCGCGATCGCGCTCGATTCATCACAAGCCCTATATATATATATATATATATATATATATATATATATATATATATATATATATATATATATATATATATATATATATATATATATATATATATATATATATATATTGTAGCTTAGGTGTCTATAAAAATGATTTATTAAAAATCAAAAATTATAGATAAAAAAAGTGATTAAAGTCAGAAAATTGCTTTTTACTGTGGTTTCAGACTATATCTGTTTATAAGAATAGTTTTTTTGTCAATTTTTTTTTAATTTTGATGGATGCATTCTATTATTATTGCATTTTGTGGTAAAAATGTTATCAGCAATTTTTGAACACTGCGTCATTTAAAAAATAATTTATAGGTTGTTGTAAGAGTAGAACGGTTTATATCACTGCAACAAATTTACAGTTGAAATTAAATACTTTTGTTACTTTTAAAAATGACAGCTTTTAAGTGTTCGAAATGTAAGTTGTTACTTTTTTATATTGATGGAGGAAGGTCAATTGAGACACTATCAATAATTTTAAAAGAAAATCAAATTTCTCAGGATAGCTTATGTTTCATTGTTAGTGATATTCAAATGCACACTGTTCCATCGTTTAATAAATGATGGACCAAGGTGTTAATAAAAGTTGAAGCTTTTTTATCTAGCAACAGTAATTTGTTGGATTCTGAATATAGTGCATTTTTACTGAAATAGAAAAATGCAATAACAGACCCCACCCTATCTACATCATTTAAAAAATGTGGAAGTCTTATAGAGATTTGTCAGAGACCAGTAAAAAAAAAAAATCAGATTTGAGCATAACCTTAATGCCTAAAGAGGCATTACGCTCAATAGGAGATGAAACAGAAGCAAAGCTTGTGGAAGCATTAATTATTGCAGAAAAGAAAAAAAGATTTCTGTCTCGAGTTTTATGGAAAACACAAACATTTTACTGACAGATGAAGAAGCACTCAGCGTGTTTGTTGATTTTGATTTAAATAAAGCACAATATTTATACTTGAGGAAGTTGACAGACAAAAAAAAACTGTTTCTTATTCCCACCATATTACAAATTGCAAGAAATAATAGAAATTATTAACACACATGCAAAAATTATGTAACTGCAATGGATTGCAAACTACGAAGCATACTAAACTGCAATGGAATACAAAAATTACGAAACTGCAAATGGATCGCACTGTAGATAGAATTTTGACTATAGATTCCTTGTACAATAATTAATTTAAACATTTAATTTTGTATAGTAAATGGGGTTGTGAGTAGAAGCAGAAACTTCCAGAAGAATCTGAACTTATTTCTGATGCAAATTTATTTATTAGTTCTTTGAAACTAATCAGATTAGTTGATGAGGTAACTGGCGCAGTTGTTTGGTAAAATCCGGCTCCTTTGTTTTTACATTTTTGCTGACCTATATGCATAGAATTTTGCAAAGGGACTCCTGAGAAAACTATAGTTGTTGTTGATGAAATAAAAAGCCAAATATATTCTATAATTAACAAAAGTTGTAAAGGAATACAAATGAAACAAGAACTTTTGGTAGAGTTACTCCACGAAAAATGAGCGATTTGCTAAAGTGTTTGCTAGGCCTGAAAATGAAAGTTGGTATCTATACAGACTGTTGATATTACATGCCTGGATTTGGTGTATGGAAATGATATTACATATTTCTAACAACTTGTCTTTCCAAACATGGTCAGCTAAAAGTGAAGGAAAAAAATGACAAATAAAAGAGAAGACTTTAGTACAGAAACGTTTTTGCGAGCAGCTAGATTTAATCATTGACAAACCAAAACAAGTAAGTGGTTACATGAATGATGGATATTATTATTCACACACTCTCCTCAGGTGTTATATAAATGCTAAAGGTTTTGGTACATATGCTACAGAAATTGCCCATATTTATGTGAGTATTTGTAGCTGGTACTATATGCTGTCCTCAGTACACAAACTTTTACTTCACGGAGTCTCATAAAACATTTTGCAATACTGCCTATTGTTCAACTTTCAGAAGAGGCACAAGAATCTCGTAATAAAGGTTATAAAAAGTTTCTTCATCATACCAGAAAATATTCTAGATTAGCTGCAAATGAGGATGTATTTCATACTCTTCTCTACAAATTCGATCCCTGCATCACCAGCATTAGAAAACCATGCAGCAAAGATTTTCAAGAACTTGATTAAGATGCTTTGTAGCTTTTGAAAGTCAACCTATAATTTATTTCATAAAAATTTACAAGCAAATTAATTAATTACACGCTACAATTAAAAGATCAAATTAATAAAGCAATTAAGCCTAATATAAGGAAAATGTTCGTTAAAAAGTTTAAAAATATGCAATTGTAAAAGGAAAAATCAGTAAGAATATCTGGTCTTCAAAATTTTAGTTTATGCAAAACCGGGCTCTTTGTTTTCATGGGGCAAATCAACTTAAATTTGTTAGCAAAATAGTTATAAAAAATAATATAGTATACACACAACTACAAAAGTGATAACACTCTAGTAACTAACTGCATTATAAAAGTAATAAAAATATAATACTTTTATAACGCACTTATAGCTTTTATAATTCATTCTTTGTTCAATCAACATAAGTAATTCCAAATTTTAATTGAAGTAGAAAAGCATCTAGAAAAGTAGAGTGGATATTCAAATAATATTTTTCTAACAAACTTATAATAATTTGCTAATTGAAAACAAAGTACATGACTTTGCATAAACTAAAATTTTGAAGACAAGATATTTTTCCAGATTTTGCAAATCTCAATCGCTCAATTCAACCCTTGATATATATATATATATATATATATATATATATATATATATATATATATATATATATGTGTGTGTATACATATATATATATATATATATATATATATATATATATATATATATATATATATATATATATATATATATATATATATATATATGTATATATATATATATATATATATATATATATATATATATATATATGTATGTATATATATATGTATATATATATATATAAAATATATATATATATATATATATATATATATATAATTTTTTATTTTCAAAAAATCTAGAATAATGGAGTAACAAAACTACAAATGGTTTAAATTTATCTAATACTTAGTCATCTATTCTTTATTCTTAAATAACATTTTAATATGTTTTAGCATGCTTTCAGAGAGTTTCTGAAAGTATTGTAAAAACATGTTCTTAATCTAAACTCTTTTTGTTTCCATCATCAATTTTAGAATCGAAGTGCAGCATGCTCAACAAATCTTTGATTTCAATTTCTTTTAAATGTTTTTTATTAGATCAAGAAATTGCCTCTCTTTATGGTGCTTGTCATTTTATTATTCCTGATTTCATTCTCTACCTTACAAATATTTTTGTTTGTTCTATGGAGTACTGTTATCATATTTGAGCTGGTTATTCTAATGTTGTTTATTCTCTTTTAAACAAGGTTCAAAAATGTATTGTAAAATCTAGTTTGACATGCTCTATCTGCCTATGTTCCATTGTTGTAAGGTTGCAACATTGAACCTCTTGATTGTAAGTTAAAAGTTCTACCACTAGTCTAGTCTAACATATATATACTACAATAGTTGCTGCTTAAGCAAGCTATTTTATTTTGTTTTATAAGCTAAAACTTAAATGTAATTTTTTTATTTACCATCCTAAGAATGTATCTGACATGATTTTTTTTGTATCAATTATGATTCTCTCACATATAAGCTATGATAAAAAAACTTTATTTTTGCTTAAAAAACTTGGCTTAAATCAACTTTTGTTTAATTAAAAATGTTATTTAACTCCACATACCAATACCAGTATCAATACCATATATTAAATGTTAATTGTAATTCCTTTCTCTTTTTTCTTTGATGCTTTTGTAACTTTTTCTCTATTTTTTTTTCTCTAATTTTCTCTGAGTTGATCTTGTAGCTTTTACTCTAACTGTTCCTTTGTGCTCAAAAAATGTTTTTTTATCAGGTTTTTATCCTTGCACATAAATACTTTGAAGTTCTCTTCCTTTTTTTTCCTTTTTTCAATTAATTTCCAACAAAAATAGTGGCTGCTAGCAGCTTTATTAGAAGAAACTTGCAATCTAGTTGGGAATAAAGTTTTATAATTTTGATTATAAATAAGTACTATAATTTTAGTCTAAATTTAATTTAATATTTTAATTAAAAAATTAAGTCATCTTTTATCTATATTTCTTTATGTAAATTGTAATGGAAATGTTAATAGATTTTAGTTGAATTTTAACAGATAATAGCTTGTTATCATATATTTAGATTTGTTTTTTAATCACCTTAATAAGTTATGTAAACAAATTAAGTTTAATTGAAGATGATTAGTGTTAGTTATAAAATTATTTTGTATTAATAAAATTGTTTTAACAATTAAAAAGTTTGTCTAAAATTTTCCAATTAAAAAGTTTGTACTAATTTGTTAACACTTAAGAATGAAGCAGTTAGGCACCTGTTTTGTTTTTTCTTCAATTTTCTATTGCTTGATATTTCTATGGCTTGATATTTACTTACCTTTATGTGCTTGCTATCAACATGTAAAGACCAGTAGCGTTGCAAAAAAGCACACACACCTCCCTCCAAATATTTTAATCTAGGCCCCAAATTAATTCTTTGCCTCAAACCCCCTCCTTCAATAAATAAATTATACCTGAAAATAAAAAGCTTATTCTAAACCCAGTTTTAATTTAAAGATGTAGAAACTGGTATGTTAAACTGTAACATACTAGTTTCTATGTTGTTTCCATGAGAACAAATATTTGTTTCTTGAAAAAATGTTTATGCAAGTATTTTTAGATTTTGATATAAAACTGCGCTCTGTGCAATTTTATTTTAATAAATAAAACCTATTAGCTTGTAAAATATTTAATTATTTACTTTATGTTGAAACATTAGACATTATATTTTGTGACTTAATACTGCATATTTTATTATTTTTGAATTAATCTTTATTTATTATATATTTAATATCTAATATTTTACTTTATAGTTTATTTGAATTTTATAAATAAAAATTATTTAAAAGTTAAAGCAATGGTCAAAATTATTATCAGAGCTAAAAAAATAATTTGAAAATACATTTCATAAAGTTGTTAAATATTGATATACACGTCATTTTTTCAGTAACAACTTTTTTAAATTTTCCTTGGTTGGCTTGGGCTTCTAATAAACTCTGGGCCTCTCCGCAGCTCCTGACTCTATGGTATACTAATACCAGTGTTCCATGTGTAATTTGTCAATCATTTTAGTCTTGAGTTTCAAGGGAAAGACTTTGACTCGGAGTTACTGTTTGACTTGAAATTAAAATATTACTGCCATCATGTAACAACTGCTTGCAGATTTAATAGATTTATTTATCAATACTCCTGTATTGTTGTCAGCAAGTTGTCATATGCAAGAGTTGATAATCCTATAGATGACATCCACAGGAGTATCAAATCCTGTACATCTCACCTAACAAAGTCGCAACACTTTACTTGTTTAGTAACTTTAGTAATATCAAAAAGTTCATTCAGAACGCATTTTGCCCATAATGTGTGAGCAATTATGCAAATGTAAAACTTCAACACTTTGTCAAGCTTTATTTGCATTACTTGATCTAAAAAATTTGAAAAATCTGGTTTCTTTTTCTATAATATCATAACTTCTTCGGAAATTTTGCTATGCACTACTTTTTGTTTTTTGTTTCTTCTCCAAAAAATCGGTATTGTCCAATAATTTAAAACTGATGTTGCATCCTGCATTTTTCTTCTATTGATAAGCAGAAACAGTTTGTTGCATTCTTGACACAAACAAAAGTTAAGATTCTGGTGATTGACTTTCTCACTACAGTCAACAGCAACATTTAAACAGTACAGATCATGTTAAACAAACAAAAAAAAGCATCATTAATTATCAAAAGTTATGAAAATTTAATCATTGTTTTTTGATTGTGTAGAATTTATATCAATAATATTGAAAGTAAATTTATAGCAAAAGGTAATAGTTGATAAATAAGAAAATCAAAACAAATAATCTCTTAACTTCAAATTTTTGGATTGGCCAAAAATCTAAAGTTAAGAAATCATTTGTTTTGATTTCATTATTTATTAACTATTATCTTTCGCTCTAAATTGTTTATTACCTGTAAGTAAGTTACCTGTTTATTACCTGTAAGTTAGTTAGTCACTCCAAATCAATTGGCAGGCAATTAGTCATTACATTCTTATAAAATAGTTGTTTTGTCTTTTTTTAAGAGTTGATAAAAATGCACTTATTATTTGTTAGTTCAAGTATCTTTAATGTTAATATTTAGTATGTTTTTATTCCTTAATCAGAATTTATTATTCAAGTTGCACTGTTTCTTAGTTATTGTTATTATTTATTTATTTATTTTTTTTTCCTTTTTTTTTAATTTGTTATCTAAAAATTCTAAAAAGTTTAGTATAAAGTTAAATATATTTTTAGCTCTTGAATAAAAAAATGCTGAATAAAAACCATGTAATTAATAAAAAAAAAACTTTAATAAAAATTAATTAAAAAAAAGTATGTAGTTAATAAAAAAAGGATTAATAATTAGCTTTATAAATAGATATAAAGGAGATAAAATAAGATATAAAGGAGATTAACAAATATATATATATATATATATATATATATATATATATATATATATATATATATATATATATATATATATATATATATATATATATATATATATATATATATATATATATATATATATATATATATATATATATATATATATATATATATATATATATATATATATAAAGGAGATAAAAAAGATATTAATGGTTAATATTTTAATGCTTTAGGAATAAGAATTAAAAGTTTATTTGTTAAACTAATTTCATTTAATAAAGTTAAACGAAATTATGTTAAACAAAGTAACAAATAATTCATGTCATTTTTTAAAGTATTTCATTTTTAAACATTCTTATTTTTAGTCGAACACGACAATCAAGTTGTTCATCTGAACCAATTTCCCCTGTAGATCCTAACGCAAGCTGTAGTGGTTCATCTACACCTAATGCATCATGGTCTTTAACTAATGTTCAAAACCATTTTGACCAAGGATCCCATATTAAAAAAGACAAGGTAGTTAAGATTAATTTTTAATTTTATTTCAAGGTTATTTGATATTTATATGTATATTATTATATTGCGGCTATTCCATACCTCCAAAAAAACTTCTGCCATTAGATTTAAGCAAGTTAATGATATATGTAAAGTAAATATATAGAACTTTGATAAAATTGAAATTAAATTATATCGAATTCTAATATTCATTAGAATGGATATTGCTCAATATAGTGTTTGTTAAATTTTATGATAAAAATAAGGTTGTAAATAATATAGCTTTAAATTTTTTTTATGTAAAAATATAAACCAGTAATTGAAGATAAACTATATAAATTTAATAAACCAATAATTGAAGATAGGACTAGGTAATTTTGGTAAATTTTACTACACATAACAAAATTTTGGTAAACTTTACTTCACATAAACTTGCCCTGCATTACAGATTTCCCAAAATATAAACTCTGCCCCACTTATTCTGCAAGACAAAATGTGCATGAAAGAGTTTTTTACTTTTCTACTGCAAATCATCATTGTAAGAATCCTAAAATTGCTGAAGTTAAATAATTAAGATTTTTTTTTTGAGGGGGGAGGGGGAGGAGGGTAAAGTTTGTGAGAAACAGTTGTTAATGTGTTTTGATAAATACTTTGTCATTTTAAAATCAATTTTTAATGAATATAAAGTAATTTTATTGTTCTTCGGTTGTTTTTATTTAAAGGTATTACTTTATTACATTTTATAACCACATTCCTGGTAGAACCACACTCAGCTTGTTTCTCCATGCAAAGGCCTTGTTTGTCAAGGTATGTTATTTGGAGTTAAAGATTATAGAGATGGTTGTGACCATGATAAAAAAAGCCTCCTTGGCTATAGTGTTCCCCCTTGGCCTATATATACAGTGCTTCCAGAAAGTATTAGCGCACTCAAAAATCAAATATCTAATAATAGCAAAAAATTTTGCTATTATTAGACTTTTTATTATTATCTAGGAAAAATCTTTGAGCAAATGATGCTTTAAAGACTTCATTGCGCATATTTTTAATAATATGAAAAGAGTCAAATATAATACTTTCATGTATACCATGCCAAATTGTTGTTTTATTTATTTAATTTATTTTGTTTTAATTGATGAAGTGTTGCCAAATTGAACATGGTTGCCAACATGAAGCCAAATTGTTTTTTAAATTTTATTTCAAACTTATTATAAGTTAGGTTTAAAAATTTTAAAGTTTAATTTCGTAACATCATCAATAGAACTATTATCTACATTAGGAGCAATGAAATGACGAATTGAATGACAGTATAACAAAAAATGCAGTATAACATTATCAAAGTTCTCAATTATAGTTTTACTATAGGGTTTACTCCACAATAGGGTTACTCCATATGAAATCACCTAGTTTTTCAAAAAAAAACAACTAGCTTTTATGAAAAAAACACAATCCTGAAAATTTTGGCTTGATTGACCAAACCGTTCAAAAGTTATAATTGAATTAATATTGACCAAAATCAGAAAAATTTGAGTATTTAGATTTTTTTCAATTTTTAACAGATCATAACTTTTTAAATATAATAGATACCTGAAATTTTCAAGGGTAATAGTTTTTCACCCAAATTATCTATTTTTGTAGATGTTTTTGACTGATTTTTAACAATTTTTGAGTATTTGTACCTCAAAGTTGCTAAATAACACAATATTAGAAAAAATTTTAAAACTTCTGTGCTACAGTTCAATACCAACAGACAAGCTGTACCAATTTTTTGTTATTTTCATGTACTTAGAGTTACCACTTGTGAAAAAAATTAAAATTATGTGTTAAAAGTTATTTTAGTGCTTGCAGCAGCCTGTTAAAATATCACTTTTTTAAAAAGATACAATAAATTAGATTCACATTGTCGACATAGAAAGTAGCGTAGACAGTTAAATTGTGAAACTTTTTACTGGCAAGATTCTATATATAGACAATCACCCAAAATATTTAAAGACCTATACTCTTATATACTCTATTAAAGACCTATATCTTATGACATGATTGTAATCTATGACTTAGGTGTATTTTTTAATTTTTCTCTAATTAAATATAATCAGTTTTCCCTAAAATAACATTATCATTGTCTAACCTAATCATTTGATATGATTTTATAAATATGTATAAGTTAAATTTTATGCATATAATATAATTATAATGATAAAATTTTCACATGGTTATAATTTTAGTGTAAAATACTTCAATTCAAGAGTTTGTATTAAAATCTAAATCTGAACAGTATTTTCTGGATTTTCTTATTTTAGTTTTTAATATTGCAAGAACCAAAATTTCAAAGTTTTGTGTATGCAGAAATAGTTATACGTAGAAATAGTTTAATGGTTGCATTTTAGACAGTTTTAATCACATTTGTACTTGAGATTTCATTTTTTATTTCACATTTGTACTTGAGATTCATTTTTTCTGATTATATTACTTGAAAGATATAAAAATGTTTTTTTAAGATTATAATGTTACATGTTTAACCTTCGATTTTAATATTTTTAGATTAGTAAAAAATGTCAGAGAAATGTTGTGTGGGAAGAGTTTTAAATAAAGATTGTGATAAAATATCATATTGTAGAATGGTAGAAAGAATAAGACTAAAAGATACTGATATTGAAGTTTTTATGCAAAGGATAGGATACATATTCGAACCAAATAAGGAAATATGTTTTCACCATAAAAAAGCCTATATTTCTAGGTATGAAGCACTTCAAAAATACTGTTGTGATCCATTTAAAATCCACAAGAAAAAAATTATCAAGGGATTGTGTAAAGTCAACATATCAATAGCAAATCAACATATTATTAACAAGCAAAACAACAAACCTGGTGAAAAAGTTTGTGATTACTGTATAAATGAATTCAAACTTGAAAAAATAACAGGAGTTACTCAAGATAAAGCTGCTGAAGAAGATTCTAGTTGTTCTTAATAAGAGTGTGTCTTTATTAAAAATATCTCCACTCGAAAATGTAAGTAGACATGAAAACTTAAGATATGGAAAGCAAAAAGCTAAAAAAATCTATAAACTAATATGATAAACCTAGAAGCGCCAGCATTGGTCATGACCCAAAGGTATAGTATCAGAAAAAGAGTAAAAATATATAAATAGTAATGATTTAGACAAACTGTTAGATGCGATAAAAAATAAAATGAAAATAAGTTTGACAGAAGAAAAAGTTCAACTACTCCTAACTAGTAACCTGATAGTAGGTCAATTAAAAAAACTATAGTTTTCTTGTGCAAGATGCTGTACAAGGGTTTTACTGGCAAGCTGATCAAGCTACCTTACATCCATTTGCTGTTTATTACAAAGATGAAATCAACTCAAATGTGAATGCTATTGTACAATTTCAGACCATCTTTGCCATGACCAAACAACAGTTCATTGTTTTTTCACAAAGATGAAAATCAAACCACCCACAATCAATAATGTAAAATACTTCAGTGATGGTACTGTGTCACCAGGGCCTATTCTAGGATAAAAGTTTGTGTGGCAGTACCCCCTTGTTCCGGAAAACTTTAGCAGAAAATTGGCAGGTTTTTTTTTTTTTTTTTGAGAAAAAAAAATTATTTGCCGTGAAAACGGGAAAAAAAATAATCCATAAATTTTTATTTACTAGGGGCTATTCTAAACCCAAAAATGGTTTAGAATAGCCCCTGGTCACAGTACAAAAATTACAAATGTCTGTTAAACTTAATGTACCATCTTGAAAATCACAATATAAATGCTGAGAACCACTTCTTTGCTACATCCCATGGCAAAAGTCCATATGGTGGAATAGGAGGAACTATAAAAAGAGAAGCAGCAAAAGCAAGTCTACAAGCAGCAAATGTAAACCAGATTTTGATACCAAATGAACTGTTTACATGGGCTGAAAAAAACATTAAAGGTGTTAACATTTTACATTTATATTTTACATTTCAAGTGATGATATCAATAACCATAAAACTTATTTTAACAGTTTTGTACCAGGTGGAGGGAAATTATTTTTACAGAGAATCTCTTGCGATACTGTCTATGACCCATTTGCTGAATAATATTAACTTGGCAAAAAAAGATCCTTCAAACTTTCAACCTGGTAAGTACAATGGACTAATGATGCAGAATCAAGTCAGTGTTGGGTTCCATTTGACAAAGTAATATGTCAAATAAAAGCTCAATCCATTAAGGGTAGAAGTGCTCGTGACTACAAACTTGCTAATAATGATTATGGTAGTATTATGAGTTTTGTAAATCAGAGATAAAGAAATTAGTGTACTTGTGTTTCATGTATATACACATCTTCTTTCAGCTTTTTATTTTTTTAAAATATATGATAACACTTGCACTATTAGGTATCCTTTTAAACTGAAAAAGAATTGTACTCAAAATGCTAAAATTATGTCATAAGATAGAGTATAGGTCTTTAAATTTTTTTTGGTGATTGTCTATATATAGAACCTTGCCAGTAAAAAAGCTTCATAATTTATTTTAACTGTCTATGCTACTTTCTATGTCTATAAAGTGAATCTAATTTATCGTATTTAAAAAACAACAACAAGTGTAACAGGCTGCTGCAAGTGCTAAAATAATTTTTAACACTTAATATTAATTTTTGTCACAAGTACTCTAAGTACATGAAAGTAACAAAAAATTGGCACAACTTGTCTGTTGGTATTAAATTATAATACTATTTAAAAGTTATGATCTGTTAAAAATTGAAAAAAATCTACTGTAAACTCCTGATACTCAAATTTTTCTGATTTTGGTCAATACTAATTAAATTATAACTTTTGAACAGTTTGGTCAACTAAACTGAAATTATAACTTTTGAACAGTTTGGTCAACTAAACTGAAATTTTGAGGTTTATTCTTTTGTATTCTTTTTATAAATACTGTGGGTGGTCAAAATTTGAAGCAAATTTGAGGTGGTACCCTGAAGACCATTAGGTGATTTGATATGGAATGACCCAATACGGTTTTTAACAGAACTGTAAATAAATGTCAAAACTCATTTATACAACTCTTACAATTTTAAAACCATGGTAATGTATGATAAAATGATTTCTTTTTAATCAACTTTTTTGCTTAAAAGTATTTTTAAATAATTAAAACGCTATTGAGTTTAGTATTTGTTTTCATAATTTCTTTGCTTCTTTTTTTTTTTTGCCGAATTGCCCATATATAAACACATTGTTGATTGGTTTAATATTGTATTGAATTACTAAATTTCCAATCATAGAAAAGTCCTCAATAATTTAGAAACTCAATTTAAATTTTGAAGCTTTATATAATTAAAATAAAGAAAAACAACAATTTATGGAACTTGAAGTTACATGCCTTTTAGACAATCATCAGCTATAAAATACAAATGTGGTAGTATTTCCTTAATGTATACAGTTAAAGTTATTTTCTATAACAATTTTTTAATATTATTTATATACATTAACTAATTTTAAATAGTATAAAAAGTTTTTTTTATACAGGAAACTTTACCATTTTCTCTTGTGATGTTGCATAAGCAAAAGCACCAACAATCCGATAGCTCAACACCTCCTAACACACCATTAATACACCTTAGTCCTTGTAAATTCAGTGAAATTTCATCACTTCCTCTTTCAGTTGATACTCGATCTCATTGTGATGGTTTACCTATGAAGCCAGGACTTTCTAATGGTTTGTTGCAAATAGCTAACTCTCATAGCTTACCTCTCACACCAAATAGAAGTTATTTGCAATCTTTTGGATCTGTTACTGCTGAAGAAAAAATTGGTGATTTCTCTTCACGAGATGATTTTTCTTCTAAGTTGGATTCCCCTATCTTACCAAATAAAAGATCTTTATGGACAAATAAGTACTATGGATCTTTAAAAAAGGTTAATTTTTACTCTGAAAGTTAATTTATTTTGAATTTTTTAGATTAATAACTGGTATGTATTGTGTCAATTATAATTTTGTAATTTGCAATGTTTTATCATTTGTATGCAGCATTGGTTAAACAATCGTGCTTCTTTTCTGAAAATAACGCATCAAAATGAGAGTGTTAAAGAGAGTTTCTTGCAATTTTCTTCTATAAATGATGATAATATTCAAAATGCAAATCAATGTTTCAAAAAACCTCAAAGTAATTTTTTTTTTTTATTAAATTTGAAAAAGGTTTTTAATTATTGGAACAATATTTTTAATTATAGTTTATTTGTGATTAGTATTAATCTGTTTTAATCAGGTTCTGTTTAGTTTAAATAAAATTGTGTTTTGTATTATGGAAGTTTCTGCTTAATCAAAGAAAGGTTTAGTTTATATCATGATCAAAAGTTTAGAACATTATACAAAAAAAAAACATGATTATTAATAGGTAATCATTGCAGTTGACAAACAGAATTGCTTTTAAATGTTAGTTTATCAATTTAATATTTGTTATGGTGTCTTTAAGCTTCAAGACAATTAGCTAAATATGTAGCCATTAAGTGAATAAACTTTCTTGATTTTTAAAAATTAATATATGAATTTCATATTTGCCTAGTTTTCTCTTGCAGATTTGGCAGATGAGGGGTGATCCTAACAATTTTTAATGTGGTTGAGATTAGGTGAGTTACCAGTCAAGGGTTCTAAGGCCTTATGCCCATTTTCTTGCAACCAACTGCTTTCAAGCTTGGTCCTGTGACAAGCAGCTTAATCAGGCTGTTATTTGTGGGTGTTGGTAATTTTTTTTTATCATTAATATAAGGTCAAACAAGAAGATTTGTTGTAATTTTTTGAGACATAATCCATAAACCACAAATTATGATTGTTTATCAAATGACACCCAATTGATTTTGGAACAATATTTTACATTCTAAAGCGCGTTATTATATTTTTGGTGAGACCGATGTGTAATATTTTTAAAAAAACAACAAAACTGTTTGACTGATAATTTATTGGTAGACATTACATCTAATCTGCCACTGTACAGTACTTGTATTTTTTAGAGAAAGTAATAGAAACTTGACCACTTTTAAAAAAGATTAAAACATTCAGTTGTCCATTTTTGTCCTTTGTTTTTTAAATCACCAGCTTTATTATATAGTTTCAAGGTTTTTTATTGTGCGTCTATATTACATTAAAATGTGTACCAATAGTATATTAAATATAGTTAAATATATTATACTACTCAAAATTTTGAATCTAAAAATTTTTATTTTTAAATCAATTTTTTTCTTTTTTCAAATTTGTTAAATGTTCTAAATATTGATTATGACTATAAATGAAGGTTGCATTTACTCATAAGAAGATTGTGTTTAGTTTTATTAAGAAAGTTATATTTTTGTTAAATGGTTTGTTTACAGTGTTATAAAAGTGTTTATAGTGTAAAAAGTTTAAAAGATTAGTAAAATTTTAAATAAAGATTTTCATTTTAAAATAAGGTTTAGACAACATAATGAACTAAAAACGTGTTTATGTAAATAAATATTTACTGAAATCTGAAATTTCAAAAAAAATTTACTTGTTATTTTTGATTTATCACTTTGATATTTAAAACATTTAATTTGTTAGGTTACATTCCTCTCAAACAGCGTCTTCTTTCCAAATCCTTAAATAAGCAATTTTCTGAAGTTGCAAATGTAGCTTGTACAGATGAAAATTTGAAAACTTCTGAAGTTGCAAATGTAGCTTGTACAGATGAAAATTTGAAAACCGAAAAACCAAAGACTAATGAAACTATTGTTTTAACAGAAACAAATAACTCTAATATTCATAGTGCTATAAGAGAAATTTCCACTGGGATTAACTCTGACAATCAGTTGTCTGTGTCATTTAATGAATTAGATTCTGTTAATAGTGTTTATAATACAGAAGAAAAGCCTTTAATCAACTCTGTAAAACTTGCAACTAATTCTGAAACTGAACAATTAGGAGCAGATAATGTTAGCTCATCATCTAGCTCATTTTGTATAGGTGATACTCTAAATAAAGAATCTCAGAATTTAATAGTTAATAATTCTGATGCACAACATACAGCCGATTATAAACATTTTAACTATAGTTACTCGGATACCCAAAGTAATATTCAATGTGAAGATAACACAATAAACACAGACTTAAGAATTGTTTTATCAGGTGCTTATAATGAAAAAAGCGATTCTAGTTATAATAGTGAACAGTACCAACCAGGAATTATTCAAAATTCAGGAAGCTTAGAACAAACCAATGATTTAATATCCAATAATGGAGGCCATGATGGGTTAGCAAGTGGTAAAAAAAAGGTATCTTATTAGTAAATAAAGACTTATTTGCATCTTTAAATTGTAAGATTTAAAAATTTTTTTGAATATCTCTTAGTTATCATACAAGGAATATAGAAAACGTCAAAGAAGCCAGAAGTTAAACAGTTTGCCATCTGACAGAAATTATAATCAATCGTTCAATGGGCAGGATATTAAATCAACTTCTTATATGCCTATTGAAACTGAAGTATTATTTTAATAATATTTTTTATTAGTTTTATATATATATATATATATATATATATATATATATATATATATATATATATATATATATATATATATATATATATATATATATATATATATATATATATATATATATATATAAACCATTTTTTTGTCTATTTAGACAAATGCATTTTTCAACTTACAAAATATACCTAACTACATAACACTGGTTTCCAGCTCATCATCAGAGAACACTAAAGACATTAACAATGATGACTCACAAAGTAACATTAATGAAATATCCCAAATAAATAACTGTTCATTATTTGAACCTGTGAGTTCTGGAGATGACTGTGAAAGTTCTCCACCAGAAATAAGTAAATATTTTTTTAGTTTTTGCTTCTTTTTTTTTTAAAACTATGAGAATGTTGTCACTATAATAAAAAAAATCATAATCTAAATGTTTTTTTGTTTTTTTACCTTTGATGAAATAACAGGGTGGCCATCCTGGAAATCAGAAAAAAGTCAGGGAATTTTTTTTCTAGTCAGGGAAATCATGGAAAAGTCAGGGATTTTTAATTTTTTTTTCAAAAGTCATGGGAAAAAACCTCTTTTTTAAAATTTAATTTTTTTTAAAGGTTTTTTTTACTTCTTTTCAAACAACAAAACTTAAAAACTCACACTTTAAAATATAACTGAGTCAGAGAAAAATATAAAAAGTCAGAAAAAAATGAAGGGGATTTAATTATACAAAGTGGCTGGCCACCCTGAATAAAAAATTTGTGTAAAATTTTTTTAAAATATAACTGAGTCAGAGAAAAATATAAAAAGTCAGAAAAAAATGAAGGGGATTTAATTATACAAAGTGGCTGGCCACCCTGAATAAAAAATTTGTGTAAAATTTTTTTAAAATATAACTGAGTCAGAGAAAAATATAAAAAGTCAGAAAAAAATGAAGGGGATTTAATTATACAAAGTGGCTGGCCACCCTGAATAAAAAATTTGTGTAAAATTTTTTTAAAATATAACTGAGTCAGAGAAAAATATAAAAAGTCAGAAAAAAATGAAGGGGATTTAATTATACAAAGTGGCTGGCCACCCTGAATAAAAAATTTGTGTAAAATTTTTTATTTATTTTTTTTTTTTTTACATAATGTTTATTTTAGCTGTTCACTTTTATATTTGTAGATTTGGTTGTGTACTTTTAATCATTAATGTTTATTTTAGCTCACTATGATCAAACAATTCATTCTGATATCACAAAGAACCCATTCAATGTACATAGCAATATTAATAAAAATGTAAATAAAGGAAATCGACAAAATCATGGTAAGTTTTTTAAAATGACATTAATGATTTGTTTGAAATGTATATAATTCAAATTTCATTTGTAATTCAAATTAAATACTTCATAATCTCATTTTATATCAAAACTTATTCAATTCATAAATCATTATGAGGATTATGTTTTTAAAAATAAAAATTGATACTGTTTGAAATATTTCTTCACAAAGAAAACCATTAGTTGTTGCAGTTAGCATTTCAAATAATAAGATAAAACCAGTAGTTGTTTTTATCTTATTATTTGAAATGCAGTTAGCATTTCAAATAATAAAATTCATGAAATAAGAAGTAAATTCTGAATTGATAAATCATTAACAGCCGCAAAGAATCACATTGAGTATTTCTGTTTTTGTGACACAATCATTGCCTACAGGTGGAGCTATCCAGTCAGGTAAACATGAGTTAGGTGATTCTAAAAGCAGATTTTTGATTGTTGAACTGTTCAGTTAGAATAAAAAGAATAGATCTGCAGAGTAGTAGTGCTACTTGCTTTAAGTAAAAGAAAAAAAATATTGATGTTAGAGGAGAATCCCATATACAATGTGAACCTTGAAACTTGCTTAAGATGGTTACACAGTGGTTTAGATGCTAAACCATGCGGGTAGGCGGCAAATTTCCATTACCCATTATTTATTTTTTTATTTTTTTTATGGATATGTAAACTGTTAGGTTCTGGGGTATTCTTCCAACCAGTGCACAGTGGGCCGGATATTAGACATGGTGGACGAAATATTTCTGCTATTTCTTCTTTTCTTTTTTTTTTCCTACTAAAACTCTTTAAATGTCCAAACAATCACTTTGTATTAAGATATCTTAACTTTTATTATAAATTTTAGTTAAATATTTGCTAATACTAAAAATTATTTAACAAACTTTATAAAACTTTAAAAATGCGGATTTATTATGATGTAGATACCTAAGAAATATATAGTCAAGAGGGCTTTTAAAATGAACCATAAAGAACATAATTAGCTCATACCATTTATACTTATAGAGGTCAGGATTTTTGCTTATTGATTTTTAGCGATAAGCTTCAGCTTTAAGTGAGACTCGTAAAAGTGTACATTAAAAAATGCATCATGTAAGAAAAATAAATCTTTAGCGCTTTCAGGTAATTATGTATGATCATTTACAATAGTAGTACTATAAATATATATAATATATAATAGTAATACCTATAAATGTAATATATAATAGTAATACCTATATAAATATATAGTAGTACTTTGATCGTTTGGTGGATGGCATTCATAAATTCGAAAACTTGTAAAATGTAATAAATGTTATAACTATAATAGTATAGTAAGCAGTAATGAATAAGAATTCAAAAAGATCTGATGAGCTATATAGATGTTTTACGTACTCGACCTAGAATAACCTAGGTCAAGTAATTAATGCGTATTTATCTAGGTCGTATACGTTTTGCAGATATTTGCAAGACTTGTTTGTACACAATCAAGTTGTTTTTGTTTTATTTATAACGTGTTCCATGAAGGTGTGATGAGGTTTGTCACTTGGACTAGCTCTGCGTATTTTATTGTTTTTGTTATAACTCTTTTTTAGTTTGTTAATCCTTGACCTTGCCTTAAGTTTAAAAATTAAGTCCTTGGGCTTGACCTCCCACCACATTCTATTGAATTATGAATTTTCTGGAATATTTTATAACTATTGTAATTTCATAATTTCTTAACCTATAACTACAATTTACTTCTAGCATGAAATTTTAATAAAATTGTGTGGTGCAAATATTAAACTGCTTTATAACAAAATAGAACTTTTTATCTCTAAAATAAAAAGTAAAAAGAACAGAATACATTTGAAACGTTTTCCTTGCTCTTCTCAACATAAAAATAACAAAGAAATAAAAGTATTATAATATTTTCTGTGAAATATGAATATAGTCTATATAACTAATACTGTAATCACAGAAAACATGTTCGCAATACATTATTTTTTCTTAGTAGTTCTGCAAGGAATAATTGGCTGAGAACAGCATTCGTCACATAGAGGAAAATAGTCTTTTTTTGTGTGTGTGTTGCTGTGGGTAGGTCTGCTGAACAATAAATGCAATGTCAACATAGTTAACTGAGTAGTACGAAGGTTCAACTGGTTCACCAAAATTCATTGATCAAACAAACACTACATCTAGCAAACCTTCAGGCAATTCTGCATCCTTCAATAAGGAACCACAAGAAAAACACAGACTATCTAAAGCATATTTAAGTAGTTGCCTCTCATCTGCTTTAAGTTTTCGTAAAGCATGGTAATTCTCCACATACCACAATCATCACAAAACAGCATCATGTCACTATTCTTGGCATTTTGTATACTGGCATAGAAAGGAAGAGAACTGCTTTTAGCTTTCTTGAGTGAAGGTCTATCGTTTTTAAAAGTTTCTGTCCCATGAATATCCTCAAAAGATTTGAAATGAGCATTATCTTTTATCATAGGGTCTGCAATTAATTTGATCTTAGAGAATTCTTCAGTAGACAGCCTCAACCTAACACAGATTTCATGTTCAGGATTACCATACTTTTTTACTTCAAAGAAAGTGACGTTGGCGGAAACAATGACTTAAAAGTTATTTTAAAATTAATTCTGAGTTTAACCTAAACTATAGTGAAAACAATTCTTACTAATTTTTTCACTATAGTTTAGGTTAACACGTTCACGCCGGCGTGTACCACCAGTGGTACACGCTGCCCAATGAGACAGTCTAGTGTGTACCACCGGTGGCACACGCCGGCGTGAACGTGTTAAACTCAGAATCTATTCTATTCAAACAACTCCACACTTTATTTTGAAGTTCTTCAGAAGCTGACACAAACTTCATAACATTAAACTTCTTGTCTTTATTCACTGTAATCTTTCAGTTATTTTACTCAGAATTATTTTCACAGGCTCTATTGAGTCCGATAGATCCTCATGAAGATTATGCTTTTCTGCAATTATTTTTATTTTCCTAACACTAATACAGCTTTTTATAGCTTCTTCCCTACTGTCAACCATTCATATTGTCATGTGCAACACCAACTGATTGAAGACCCATATATCAAGATTAACAATACTCGTTCAACAGGGTTTTTATATGAGTGATATGGACACAAATAGTCAAGATCAAGAAATAAAAAAAGGGAAATCATAGATAACTTAACACTCCTGTGGTCAGGACCACCATCAGAATAGATAAACAAAACCGGCTTTATTTTAGCAGCCTCGAATATAAGATTTGCTAATTCAGCTGCATGTCTAATTGGAGAAGTAGGCTCCAATTTATATGCCGCATTTACTTGGCCCTCATACCAAGACTCTGATATTTTTTCTGGAATATCAATAACTAGTGACACAGATGGAGTCATACTGAACCGTGTGAAGTTATGATCACTAACCTAAAACAATGTTTTTCCATGAACAAGCATCTGGCAACCTTGCTCCGCTGATGTTACTGGAGCTGATGGTTCTCCTACTTTATTCCGATTCTTGTCATCAGCACAAACTAGTATAGATACATCCCTTGTTTTCAAAGCAAACTCACAATAATAGTGAAATATACAAGCTGCATAATAAGAATCAAAGTTTTGTTTAAAACAAAACTTTAATTATCACTAGCAGTAAGCAACCCGTTATACGCGTTGTTAGTAAATAAAATTAAACAAAAAAAAACGCGTATAGAAAAGCCTAGAAACTACTTTAAAATAAAAAAGCCTAGAAAATGATGTAACTCGACTAATAATAATAATTTTAAATTAGCGTATTCATATTATCAGATTATGCACCATTTGTCTTTGATGTACCATTCTTTTCACATTCAAAATCCCTGCGTACCTCTGTGAAGTTTTTGTTTCTTTTCTAGCTGGCATAAACTGCAATTGGATATATGATTTAGATGGAATAGAGGTGTAATCAGTTAGTTTGTCTGCAACTTGATTTTGGAAATCTCTAATACTGCTTTTATTAAATGCACAACTTTTGAATGTTGCCTATCATCTACAGCAGAACTAGTCTTCTTCAAGAAATTCGTTTGCTTTAGCTCAAAACCTGCATAAAGTTGACGAAAATTATATACCAGATCAGGATCTTCAAGTTCAAAAAGTATATCTTTTCGATTATCAATTTTGGCTTGGGATATTGTGTCAGCAGCTAAAACATCACCTTGATCTTTGTACATGTCTTGAAATGCTTTTCTTTAAACAATGAGTAATCAGACCACATTTTTTCAAAAGCAGCGCTTCGCATAGCTCTTGAGTGATATTTGGGAATTTGTAGTTTAATTGCTTCGATTAAGGGTTGGCTAGAATGAAGAGCAGAATTAATATCTATTGCAGTTATATGCCAAATCCACTGTAGGTTACATAAGTTACTTCCTGGATAATAAGTTACTAATATAGTAGGTAATTTAAGTCCTTTTTTTACTTCTCTATATTCGAATCTTTGAAGATGATCATTTGATAGAAGGTTTAATTCTTCTAATAAACAGATTTGATCGATTTCTCCATTATTTATTATATAGCTGACAGATCATTGATATCTTCAGATGGCGTGTGTTGCACTGGAATGTTCATTATATTAAGCGAGTTGTTTACCACTACATTGGACTTTTTTATAGTTCATACATTACCACTACATTGGACATAGTTTATTTCTATGATGATTTATAAGAACTTGGCTTCTTTTAGATTTTATAACATTACAGTATTTTTGAAGCCCTTGAACCAGTATCTCAACCTCTTGCTTAAAAGGTTTCCATTCTGGATGATTCCAAAAACCAGATTAATGATTTTCAAACAACTTTGAATGTCATTTTAAAATGTCTATAGAGAGTGATGATACTTGTTTCTTTCTACAGAGAGTGATGATACTTGTCTCTTTCTATGTTTATATCTTTCAGGTTTATTATAATTAGTAAATTGATAAACTACTTTTGGTATCCCACATTATTGCTCAACAAACTTTTCATTATGTCCATCATTATACCGTAATACCACCAAATAAATATGAATAACAAAACGGTAATTAAAAATTCTCGCTATTAAAATTGACTTACTGAAACCATCCACAGAGTAGAGGTATTCTGGAGATATTGCTACTTTGCACTTTTCCAGAAAATGGTCGGATAAATGTAGATTAATTCCATTGGATGAGCTTAAAACCATATCATACAACCCTTGAACAGTTAATTTTTCATTGTCTACACAAAATATATCCCAACATACAATTGTTTCTCCACAGTTAGAGTCATGTATGCAACAATTCACAAGAGTCTTTTCATATCCTTTATGTTAATCACTAATTCATTTTATTAGTTTTTAGTAATTTTAGTAATTTTGTAAGGTTTTTAGTAATTTTGTGCTTTTTTTATTTGATTCTTAATCTTTATTTTATTTGTGCCCATAATTACTTGAAACAGTTGTATTTATTACGTTATTTATTAATTATTATTCTTATTATTATTTTAATATTCATTAATAAAATATATTTATTGTCTTAAATTTCTATAATATTTTGATAGTCAAAATGAAACACCTTTAAGTAGACGGTTTTGAAAATCTGATAATCTATTGCGAAAGTTCTGATAATCTATTGCAATGAAACTTTAAGCAAAATGAGAAAAAAGAAATCTTTTTTAATTTTAAATAGAATTAAAACAGAGCTGTCTTAATTTTTGAAGGAATGGAGGTTTAAACCTAACACTAGGTATATCTAACAAGATTATGTATTTGTTGAGTTTATTTAATTTTAGGTCTTTATCATTATCCGTCTTCTCCCAAATATTCTCATGGCTCGTATGACAACGATGACGTTGATAAACATTACAGAATACACTCAGGTAGCTTATTTTTTATTTACTACTTATTAAAATTTTACGTTTTTGGCTAAATCATTTATTAATAAAATATTACACATTCTTCAGTTTTTAACTGTTACTTGTAGTTTCATCTGTGTGGATTCGTTTAAAAATTCAAAATGTACCAACACAAGCTTTTTTATTTATGCAGGCTTTATGGAATATTAATAAATTATTTTGAAGCAAAGCGCAGTATTTTTAAAAAAATTGTCAGTAACTATGCCAAAGTTTTTTTTGTTTTTGTTTTTTCTCATCCCGTTTACTTATTATTAAGTTGCTATTATGAGCCAACCTTTTTAAGGCTAAACCTTGTTTTTTATTAGATAATACAAATGAAAGAGAAGAAAATGTTAGAAGTCATGCTAATATGATTACTTCTAGAGGTAATCTTGATAGCTTTCAGGAACGTTATAAAACATTTCACTCTTATGGACAACCTAACTCCAGAGATTACACGAGAGACTTTAGAGATGGATATATCAAGCAATCTGTGAGTACTATTATTATCATTGCATTGTTATTTGTTTTAAACCAAAAACCCTCTTATGTATTTACACTCCTTTGCGCCTATCCCTAGATAGTCAGTCTATATGAATGAATGCACACTTTACTGTGCTAGATAATTTTCAAATTTAAAAATCAAATATCAAAGATCTTAGTTTTTTTTAATTTTTATCAAATTGTAAGATTTTACACTTTGTTTATTAAACATGCAAGTAGACGCTCGGTATATAATTAAATATAGTCTGTCTATTTACACATGAAAAACAGGTGAATAGAAATTCCGAAAATAATCTCCTCTATTTTATTTTTTCTCTTTCTTCGTTTGCCTATAATTTAGTATAATTGCCTATAATATAATATTTTTTTATTATTATTCAGAATTCACCTCACAACTACGGCAGTAATCTACACATCCAATCATCAGCCAATCGTCCTCTTCAAAGAAGTTCTGCTTTATCTCCAATGAACAATTTTAATATCCGATCTCCGCAAAGCTCTAGAAATATATCCACGTTATCTCCACAAGGTTCTAGAAATAGTAGGCTTTCAAATGGAGGATATATACCTTATTAAAGTTCTAATAGTTTTCTACAAACTTCCAACGTGTTATGTACTCTTTTGTTAGAGTTGCTGTTGATCAGCTTGTTTAATTTGCCGAACCATGAGCCGGCTCACTGACTTTAAAATTATCCTTAATAAATATTTTGTTAATCCTAAATTCAAGAAAATTTATAAGTAAACAAATTTCGTCCTTCACTTTTCTTTTTTATGCAAGCAATCCAGGCGTTAATCAGAAACGCGTTGATTTCACAGGCAGTTTTACTATAGTTGAACACGTGGTTTATAGGGTGTTAAAATCAAAACAAACAAAAAATGCGATGACGTAGTATATTATAATACTAAGTTTCCGTAACGGTTAAACTATTGAAATAAAAATAGTGACAACTGTTAACGTAACAATTGCTGTTTCGGTTTAATTTCACGGAAATAAAACTAAAAAATTAATCTTGACATGCTATTATTTTGTTTTAGGGGAGGGGATGGGTTTAAATACGCAAAAGAAACTGCGTAACTTTTTACAGCTAAGTACCTTAAAAAGTTAATATAAACAGTGAAACGTATTAGTACGTTGTAATATGCCTAAATCACGTCCTATTCCCATTGATAAAACAAGAAGTTAAATATTCTGAGGTTATTTACAACAAACTAGCGAATATGATCTTAAAAAAATTTACTGTAATTTGTTAAAAGTCAAAATAAAAATGGATTCAAATTCTATCAAATTTGATTTTTTTAAACGACGAATCGGATCCAGATTTTAATTCATTTATGAAGCCGATACTTTCCAAAGCGTAGGTTTTTTTTTATCGTTTTTATTATTTTTTCCTATAACTAATAAAACAATATAAAATTTCTGTTATAAAAAAAATAATTTCTTAATTCCGATAATTTTATCACTTTGCATATTAATTTAAAAAGTTTAAAAAATTTAACTGATAGCAATTTACTACAATAATCTCTTTAAAGTCGTTTGAATAAATTACTAAAAAAAAACGTTTTAGCTTTTATAAAACTTCTGCCCCATAGTATTAAGCTAAAACTTCAAACTCGTAGTTAATAAAATCACCAAATATTTGTAAACAAAATAAAACAACGAGTTTCGTGATTATTATTTTTTAAATAAACCAATCAAAACGCACACAAAATAAAACGGCTTTTTTTGAACTAAATGCTATATTCTTCTTAGGATCTCTCCTTAACTACGCTGAGAAGTGACTTATAAAAAATGTTTGAGAGTGGATTTCTTACTAAGGCTCTACCTATTTATGAGATTTTAAATGTGAAAGATATTTTTGATAAAAATATCTTATGATGCATAGTTGAAGCAATTATTATTCTTTTAATATATAGAGCAATGAAAAATAGTTTAAATAAACATTTGAAAGGTTATTAAATAAGGCTCTTAATATAAGAGAAAAAATTTCCTTAAAAAGTTGGTATTGCAATGTTTATGCATTGAAAGTAAAAAATCTTAAGCGCTAAATATCTTGATGATTTTTCAAACTCATGTTTCAAGAAATGTTTTAAAATAAGTCTTTTTTCATTCATTGCTAAAACAAAAACAAAAAAAAAACTACTTCTAACATAAAAAAACAAGATCGAGTTTGCTTTTGCATTTTTTATTTGTTCTTTAAAGTAAAAAGTTTCATTTAAATTTCAAGTGCTAATGATTTTAACGTTCAACTCAAGAAATAATTATTTTAAAGTGCATTTTTAACATTTCACTAATTGACTAAAAAACCCCAAGAACTTTATGTTTTTAAAGAATTTTTTTTTTAATTGTGCAAAAGTATATTTTTGCAAGCTAAGAAAATGTAGGATGAGACAAGTTGTATCATGTTTTCAGGGCCTTCGAGAGGGGGGGGGGCAAAGGGAGCAAATTGACCCGGGCGCCAAGCTTAAAAGGGCGCCGGACAATCTGTTTTTTATTTTTTTAACAATAAGTAGATGGTGGTAGAACACCAAAAAAACTAGGAAATTAAAATTTTTTTGAGTTTTTCAATTTTGCATAAAATATGTGTCAAATTATTCAAAGAACGTTTAGGCAAAGTTTTAGAGCAAAATAATCTTTCTTTAGATATGAGCATTTTATTAGAACACTATGTATCTTTTTTTCCTTAGCAACGGAGATATTAAATATTTAACATGGTTGTTAGGGAATTTTCTCCCTAAAAATAAGCTCAATTTCACTGCAGTCTTCAAGCTTTGTAAGCTTGATGTCAATTTTATGTTTTCCAAATTGAAATTTAATTAAAAGTCATTGTTCTTAACCAATAAATACGTTTTGTAATAATTAACAGATTTGAAAAATTTGGAGTGTTATTGTTTGTTTATCCTTTAGATTTATATTATATATAAATATATATTTAAAAAAAATAAAAGAAATGCCAAATAAACAAAATAGTACTAGAAAGAAGAGCAGAAAATGGAATGGGTTTAAACCACCTGATATTCTCAAATCAACACCTGCTGATCATGAGATTTCTTGTGCTCAAGAAAGTTAGATGTATCATACAGCTCGGATAAATGTGAATCTGACGACTATTTTATACTTGTTAGTATACAAAATTGCTGCTGAGAAAAGTATGCAAAAAGCTGCTTTTGAAACCAAATCAATAAACAATTCTCTTGAAATGAAAGAAGTTAGAATTTTTATTGATGGTTCATGGCAAAAGCGAGTTCATAACTCATTGAATGATGCTGTAACTGTTGTTTGTAGTGATAAATGTATTGATGTAGATATATTTACCAACGTAATCAGCTATTTTAGCATACAATCATGGTGCAAAGAGTGTTATTAGTGTTTTTAGACATTTTGATTTTCATGTTAAGGTATCAAATATTTCAGCGACTTCTAAAAATAAAAAAAGGATTACTCAAATAAGATTACTCAAATAAGTCATCAGAGAAGAGAAAAAAAAAGAAGAAAAACTCTTAGAGCCATGAAAAAAGGTCACATAGGTGAAGAGAAAGTAAAAGAATATAATGAATATAGTTTTTCCGCCATTATGGTCTTAATGCTAATTAAAAAAAAAAATTTTTTTGCTTTTTTTTATTTAAATCATTTGAGTAAACTGTATTTAAAAGCATTTTTTATTTTGGAGGTTTATTTTATTTTTTTATTTATTTAGTGTTGTACCACCTTAATGATTGACAATGTAAAATCTGCTTAGTTTTTGTATTTAAAATCGAAACTTTTATAATTGAAATAAAAATGCATAAAATTTTAATTTTAATTATTTTATTACAATGAATTTATAAACTATTTTTGACGAACAAAATAGGGTTTAGTTGTAGTTGAATTAGACAGAACCGGGCGTATTTTTTTAGCCCATGTAGTATTTAGTATTTTGTTAGCCCATGTAGGGGCCTGAAGATGAGTTAAATGAACACCTGAAGATGAGTTAAATGAACTTCAAAATGACTCATCAGAATCAGAAGAAGAAACTTTATCCAACAGAGGAGGATGTGATGCTGAACCTGACTTGGTAACAATTTATACAGACCCTTTTTTGTGGCCAGTTGTTTTGTGTCAAAAAGATCAAGATGTAATCATTTTAAAGGGGCCTCCTTCAAATTCCTTGAAGCATTGAAGCATGATTATCCCCATGATTCTAATAAAAGAATCTTTCCTTTAAATGTATTTTATCAATCATTGCCTAATAAGGAAAAAGTAGAAACAGACTTTTTATTTTGGAGCTCTACTTCCAAGGCTCTCTACTGTTTTCCTTGCTCTCTCTTGGACACAAAAGTAGTATTCAAAAGCGGAGAATCGTCACTTCTTCGTTGCAACGGAGGAGCTAAGGATCAATGGAGGAAACTCATAGATTGTATGAAGCAACATCAATCTAGCCCATTGCACCAAAAGTTCTGTGTTGATTGAAAAGAGACCTGCATCAGTGTTACCAGTTCCACTGGTATAGATTCAGAGCTTCAGAAGCGAATCAACTCTGAGACAGCTAAATAGAAGACAATTCTTCGTGGAATTTTGGATCTGATTCTTTTCTTGGCTTCTAGGAATTTTCTTGGTGCTTTATTATAAGGCTTTTCTAGGTATCTTATTATAAGGCTCTCTCGATATCTGTTTTAATTATCTATATATTTATCGTAATAATTTACTTATAACTATTATATACAATTATGTTTCCAGATGAAACAACACACGTGAATGGGAAAGGAAATGGAAACTTTCTAGCTGGTATAGAGCTTATTGGTCACCACAACCCTGTTATTGCATCCCACTTGGAAGATGTGAGACGCAATCAACAAGAGGGCTCCAGAATGAGTGCCGATTACCTCTCACCATCGTCTCAAAATGAGTTTATCAGAAAATGTGGCGGTCTGATCCGAAATGCAGCTGTCAAAGAAATCCAGGACGGTATCTACTTCACCATCATAGTCGATGGTACCCCCGATACATCTCACACTGAACAGATTACCTTTGTTATTCGTTTCCTTCTCTATGAAAGAGAAAATAATCACTGGCAAATCAAAGAAAGATTTTTGTGTGTTGAAGTTTTTGAGAAGAAGAAAGGACTTGATATAGCCAAGCTTATCACTAATGTAATTGCAAGGCTAGGTTTGGATATTCAAAACTGTCGCGGTCAGGGATACGATAATGGGTCCAATATGTCAGGTGCTTACAAGAAAACTCAAGCCTTAATAAGGCAAAATTGTTCAGAAGCTCTGTACGTTCCCTGTAACGCTCAGTCTAACTTTGGGCGGTGTGCACGCAGTTGAATCAGCCATTGAGATCAAACTATTTTTCGGAAATATCGAATTTTAAACGTATTTTTTAGTGCAAGCTTTGCCCGATGGAAGATCCTCACTGAAGCAACAGGAATTTCACTGCATAGACTTTCTATGACAAGATGGAGTTCTCGTTACGACGCAATCAAACCACTTGCCAAAAGACTAAGAGAAATACTGTCAGCTCTTAAAAATGCCATTGAAAACCTAGATCTGACCAGTGAGCAGCTTGGCCAAGCAAGGGCATTAAAAAATGGTTATCATCTTTTGAATTTGTACTTCTAATTACGATTTGGTACAAAACCTTTACTGCTGTTAATGACGTTAGTCGTCTTTTACAATCTCAGGCTATTACCATCGATGATAAGCTACGTTTGATTAGGCAGCTGCTGGAAGATTTTAAACAGATTAAGGGCTCTTGGTCGCAAATTTTT